ATTTGCATAAGATGCATACTGAAGTGATGGTTGTAGAATGGATCTCCCAAAATAATACTCGAAATCTTGAATTTTGTTGTGAAACTGCCACCAACTGAATTTTCCTTAATGAAATATGGAATCATCTTGGCAGAATATCCAGGAGTATAGAAATTCAAAGTACTTCCCTTCTTATCTGGTGATAAATGAGGGAAAAGAGTAAAGAATCCAATGAGTGCATCTTGTAAATCCTTAACTACATATTTGGTGGCACCTGGAAACACTGTTTTTAATCTCAAACTATTTCCAGGAAACATTAATTTACCATATGATTCAAAATTCGAAACTTCAGTCGAAAATTGACTTAATCCAGTTCCCAAAGGTGAATCAATGTACAAAACATGAGCAAATTGATGAAATGATTTTGAATTGAGCGTCAAAACTTGATTTGCATCGATTTGAAAAACTCCATTTTCCTATTTTCATAATTTATCGTTACAAAAATATTAAAATAATAAATTAATCAAATTATAGTTCGGAAAAGACCAGTTTCGAATAAAAACTTTTCTAATCAAAATACTTACCAAGAATAACATTTCAGCAAAATAACAAGCTGGTCCACGATTCAACATGACTAATAAATCCTTTCTTTCATCATTTATATTCGAATTAGTTTTTGGAAAGTACCAATAGAATAATCTATCTTTTCCACTTCGGATAGGTAGATTTCCAGCATAGGATTTTGGTAGTGGATTAGTATCGGTGGGAGTAAACTTGGGAATGGATGTAATTTCGTTTAGTGTTGGTTTAGAATACTTTTCATCGGCCGCATGTATAAACGAAATTGTGATGATGAATAAAAATACAAAAGCCACCAATCTAAACATTTTTTATGAATTGTTAATGTCAATTCCTTTCTCAATCTCCCATCATCAGCCAAATGTCTGATAATTAATTAAATAATAAACAGTAAGTACTAATAGAGACTTTCTATTTATTTAACCTCAACAATTAATTATCAAATCATTGAATAATGCTCGATCATTTGCATTCCTAACAATTATATTTCCTTGGCTGAATGAAATGGTCTTTCGCGTATTTTTGCCAATTCTCCCACCAAAGAAAATCTACAGTTGAATTTATTAATGTAAAATATAGAATTTTAAGAAATATTCAAAATATTGAACTTTACAACTTCACCTTCTTCAACACCCCAAACAAATCGCAATCTCTTCCATCAAACTTTCACAAATAATTATTACAAAAAAAAAATGTCATTCCAACCACGAACAATTTAATTTCCAAATAATAGGGATATTTCAAGTAAGTTTTGTTTGAGATTATTTGATAATTAACCTTCAAAAGAATTGGAATTGACCAAGCTGGTATTGGCAGACAAACTCATGCCGCACTACCACAACTCTAATACTCGCTCAATAAAATACAATTACAAAATGGATATTGAGTTTAACGACATGATTTTTCGAGTACAGGTAGTAATAAAAGTTGAGTTTTAAATAAAGTTGAAAAAGAGAAAATGAAAGTTGAAATGCAAAATAATAATAAGTAATTCTGAATGCGTCGACCGGGAATTGAACCCGGGTCACGGCGATGGCAACGTATTCTACCACTAAACCATCGACGCTTCTTATTAAGATATTAAGGCTTTAAAATTTTACTTATTGAAACCACTAAAATTCTCTTTTCTACTGACTGTCTCAAAAATACTTTGTATTTTACTTTCTCAACAACTAGAGAAGGAGACTTCAATTTCAATCCAATAGTGACAGACAATGTAATGCCACATATCATATTTTATAACTACATCTTGGGAATTGTTATCTTGCTGTTCCATTTTTACAATTCCTTACAAAATCTCAGATAATTTAAGGGTCCAAAAATATCCTCCACCGTAAACCCCACATTACAGGAGCGCGATATATGTAACATTTCAGAGACCAAATATCAAAACTAATAAGAAAAAATGTTATCAAATCATCGATGCATCTCTTCATCAGCTTTACAGCTCTTGATTCTTGTTTGCGCCGCTGGTATTTTCATCCTTAATATTTTTGAAGATCAGCGTTATCAATATGAAGTTGGTGTTCAAGGATTTGATGAAGGATTTTTATTTGTTAAGGGTCATGGTGTAAATCAACTGAGAGCCTTACCTAATTTTCTGGCAAAATTGAATCAACAAATAGGAAAGATGGAGAAGAGATGTTTTATTAACATGAGAGGTGTTGAATGTTCTCCAAATAATGTCAGATCATTGTTGGCAAGAAATATGACTAGAGGTATGATGGATAATTTGATTGTGGCTGGTGTTGGATATAGTAGGGATGATCACTCAATTAAACCACAAATATTAAAATCAGCTCCTGCAAGTGGTGCTTCTGGTGAATTGACATTTACAAAAACAATGAAAACTGCTTACGAATACTTTTCAATGATTCATCCAAGTGATGGTCAATCTGTATTTAATGGATTGTATAGTCATTCTGATATGGGAATTGATTTGATATTTTCAAAGTATTTCGAAGGTGATTTGTTTATTGTAGATGCCCAAAAACAAATCTTTACACATACTGTTCAATCGCTTGGTCTTCAAGTTACAGATGAATTCCAACAAATTATTGACATTTTGCCTGATCAAATGGATTGGGATTTATACATGCAAGTTATCAATTCATTTGGTGATTCAATTGCAACTAGTATCAAGTATGGAGGTGTTGTTGATATGACTGCCTCAGTTAGATCTTGTTACAATGATCCACAAATGTTACAATACCTCTCTCAGGAATTACAATTTACAATTGATGGATCATCAGATGTTTCCAAACTTCCAAATGGTTACATTAGATATCACAAAGTTTCACAAGTGGACATTGTTGGTGGAAACCCTCAAATATCCAATATTCGTCAAAGAACTGCAACTTTTGCTGCAAATCCAGTCCCTGTCACATTTGACACAATTCCAATCTGGAGAGCTTTCCCAAATGGAGTTAAACAAGCAAATATGAAGAAAGTTTATGAAAGTTACATGCAAACAAGATCAAGAGATGTTCAAAACTTGATCAACTCCTTCAATGCCAAGAGAGAAGCAGAAGCCAACAGTCCTCAAACTTTCACAGCTTACAAACTTGATTTACGTACTAATCAATTACAAAAGTTTGGAACCCCAATCAGTCTTTCAAGAGGGCTATCAGGAAGTATTACTGATGATACTATTTTTGTTGGAGTCTATATCAATAGCATGTATGAACCATCATTTGTTGTTGGATTGCAACCTGTCATTCACAGAAATGCAGACGACACTTTCTATTTTGATTTCAATCGTGGCAACTGTCCAGTAGGTGCTACTACTTGTAAGATTAATCCTGGAACAAATACTGGACCAGCAAGTCAAATCTCTGCAATCTCAACAACTGGAAAGAACCAATGTATTGGATTAGTATTCAAAAATACTGCACAAACAAGATATTCATCACCATATATGTATGTTTGTTCTGGTTGCATGCCAGTTGTTAATGGAAAGGATATTAGCTGTGGTTGCCCTTATGTTCAATAAGTAATCCAAACAAATATTGTATTTGTAAACAAATGTTTCCAGTTTCAGTATCTTAATAAAAACTATTTTGACCTTTGGGGTTTCAATACGAGATTGGTTCCTGTTCACCTGTCAAATTGCTTGCAAACGGCCAAAGGACAACTTTCATCTCAAAAAATTTTCATTTAATTTATCCTAATCTTTAACAACCAGTAACTAAGTGGTATCCACAGATGACTGGAGATTTTAAATCAAAGCGTTCTGGATGAATGGTAATGAGTTCGGTAAAGGAGCAAAATATTTGGCTGAACTGGAACATTGATGTTTAGTATATTATCTTGATCAAGTTTTGGGACTCATTCAATAAAAAAACCTCATTTCTTGAACGACTTTCTTGCATGATAACCTCTATATCTCTTTTGAACCATAGTGGCAGAGTGGTTTTGAAGTAAACCTCTCAATGTTTCTACAATTTCCTTAACTGGTCTTCTCTTGGTATGATCTGTTTCGAGGCAATTCTTGAAAACCTCAAAGAGTCCCATAGCATGTGGATTGTACTTTTTTCTGTGGAAGTGAATGTTATTCTTGTTATGTTGATCCCAAACCTCTTCAAAACTTGTTGGAGCTCCTTGCTTACTCTTCAAGCTCACCTTCTTTTTTACCAACACTTCAAACATGGAACATGCTGCACTGTACAAATCACTGGCGAGAACTGCTGGTTGACCTTCTTCTTGTTCAACAGGAAGATAGTGGAGTGTTCCACCGGCTACAGTATCCTTCTCCTTAACAGTGAATCCAAAATCTCCCAATTTGAGAGTTCCATCTTTTGCAAGGAAGATATTTTGAGGTTTCTAATTTTGCAATTAATTTTTCAAATGATAAAATGAGAAAACTTACAATATCACTGTGAACAAAGCCATATTCATGAATATGGGCAATGGCTTCAAACAATTGAAGAGTAAACTTGAGCATTCTTAAAGGTCTCATTGGTTTTGGTTTTCCAGTTGTAAAGCTCATACTCAGCTTGTACAAGTCTCCAAAAGTACAATATTCCATAATTACAATATTACTCTTAACGGATTTTCCATCAGTTGTTTCAGTATATGAAAAATTATCAACAAATTGAACAATATTCTTGTGAGAGAAGAGTTTCAGACACTTGACTTCTCTTAAATAATCACTTTCTACACCCTCTCTAAAACGTTTCATTACATGAACATCACCAGTGTCCTTGTCTTTAACTTGAAGAATAATTGCTGAGGCGCCATCACTCAATCGCTTTTGAACAATATATTTTTCCTTCTTTTGGAGGGAATCATCAAGTTGTGCTACCTCTGTTTCAAGAATAACTGGCTTGTCTTGGGTGATTGGAGTAAATAATGGAGTACTAGTTGGTTCACATGCTTCTGCTTTAGCCTTAGAACCTCCAAAAATTCTTGACAAGAAACTGAAAATGGAAAGCAAATCTCTCCAACTAAATGAAAAGGAAGATTTTGATTTCGATTTCCTTTCTTGTGTTTCAATTTCCTCTAAAAACTTTTCACTCCTTAATTCACGGGTCTGGTCTAACTTTGCAGATTGTTGAGCCAATCTATCAATACCTCTATCCATACCTCCACCATACGAATCATCATTATCATCGTATAGTATTTTAGGGCTTGAGTGAGAAGTTTTTCTACTAGGTGCACTACTTAATGATTTATCCATGTTCATCTGTGGCTTCTCTTCCTTTCGTGCTTGTTTCTTCTTTTTGAGTTTTTCTAATTGCTTTTTTCTTTCTTCCTCTTCATTAATCTCTTCCTCAATTTGATCCTTCTTTGCTTTTAGTTCATTGTTTTCCTCGACAGCTCTTCTTCTTGACCCTCCGTATATGTTCTTGGACCTTTTCTGCCTTTGATATTCTTCTTGTCTATTCCTTTCTTCATTGATTGCTTCTCCTTCTTTCATTTCTTCTTTCAAATCAGATTTTGGTACAGAAGACTCAAATGCTATCATATTGGCTGTTACCATAGTTGGTTTTGGAGAATACGGTTGGAACGAACTGCTTGTAGCAGCACTGGTAGTAAATGATACTGCACCAGTAGGAGTTGAAAGCTTGTTAGATGTAGTCCTAGATAACATATCGTATTCTTGTGTTGAGCTTGATGAACTGCTTTGTTTAGAATCAGATTTTTTAGAAATCTGTTTTACCTTATCAGATGAAACATTTCTTGTTAGAGAAGGTGTTGGTGGTGCCATGCTAACTACGCTTCCTCTAGATGGTGGTGGAGGAGGACCTTCTTTTGAGTTGATAACAAGCGATTGAGATGGAATCTCTGACTGAAGTGAAGGTGGATAAACAGAACCTGGAAGTTCACCCATAGAACTTTCCTTAGCTTGCATGTTTTGTAGAGGAATATCTTGTTCTTCCTCCTCATCAAAATCGGCATAGATTTCATTTTCCATCTCCAAGTCATCTTCATCAGATTCGTCCATGGATCTAATAATTGCCAATTCGTCTTGTTGTTGGCCAAAAGATAGTGACGAACTTCGTTGAAGAGTACTGGCTCCATATGATTGTACCACCAAGGGTGTTAAAATTCCAACAATTTCATCAATGGTTGGTCGAGAATCTTCACTTGGCGAAACACATCTACATGCCAAATCTGTTAAAATTTCAATTTTGGTTCCTGTTGCAATCTTTCCAAAGCGAGCAATAATTGTCTTTTTGAAATCACCAATTTCTGAATCCCAATAGTCAGAATCAATTTGTTTGGCATCAAATTCTTCCCCTAATAAAATACGCATGAATAATGTGCCAAGCATGAAAACATCGTTTTGAGTTGTGAAAACTTCCTCAACACCTTCCTCAAATCTAGAATATACTTGAGGTGAAAAGTAAGACATGTGATCGTCATTCACTCCATCTACATTATTATCCAATCCAAATGAAGGAACTGTGGTGAGAAATTCAAAACCTCCCTCAGTATGAAACATGGTAATATTTCTAGGGAGAATAGAGTTGTGAGTGAGCCCTTTAGCATGTAATTCTGACAACCCACTAGCCAAATCACTAAATAATTTCACAATACAATTCAAGTCACTGAATAACAGTTCCGAACCACTTTCTAAAAGTTCTTCAACTGATTTGACATTATTCAGTGTTGATAAACCTCTATTATACTTGAACAGGTACCAATTTTGAATGAGATCAATGGCACGACTGTGTGACTCATTGACTTCTTCAACAAATGGTAACGAGGCCAGATAGAGAGTTCTTGTCATGCCACCATCCGACTGTCTCTCATAATATCCCATCAATGGAATGTTATGATTGAACTTTTCCGAGTGTTTTGTATAGGTATCTACTCGTTTCCTCCACCTCTCATTGGATGAATCATTGACAGATATTACTTGCATGGAAATTAATGATCTCGTCTCTAAAACCTTCCCTGTTTGTTCTTCCCTACTTTGTATGAATTTGAGGGTGTTCATCATTCGAGACAAATCCAATGATTTGATATCCTGTGATCCGATTTGAAATTTATAGATAAATAATTGATTAGGAGAAGTTGATTGATTGAACATTTGTGGTTCCTTCAGCAGGGAATCAAACTGTGAAGCAGAAAGACAAGTTACTCCCTTTCCGAGCATTGATGATCGTAATGATGCCAACATGTTGTTTAATTATGTACAAAAATATTGTTGTTTGGATGATCCGATATCGATCTCGATAGAATCTTCGTTAAAACTGTTTCTTGCTGATAGAGTTTGATGATGAAGAGAGATACTCTTATCGGGTGGTGATGATTTTGGCAGAGAGAAGATCCGTTGATAATTTTTTAAAAATATGAAGGAACGAGTTCATTGTGTAATGCATAAGGTGAATGGGTTTTATGAGGAACATTTAAGAACTCCTTTATCCTTATGAAAACAATGAAAACTGATAGGGCATGGTAACGTTGTTTGCTTATTGATAATTTGTGTAACGGTAATTTTTTCAAAAAATCAACAAATAAAAAATCATCACACGGCTTGTCGATACATTTTATCATTTTCTTTTTCTATTCTTCAGGTAGCTTGTTGTGGCATATGATTTATTAAAGGAAGGAAATTTTGGACTCCAATTCTTCTGGTGTTGATTCTCTGCCCAAGATTGGATTTCTGAAGGGGAATCTACCAAACTTTTCAATTAAGTCATGATGCATACGAGCATACTTGACAAAGTATTGGAAAAAGCCTTTTAAATCTTCAGGAGCCTCCTCTACCAACAATTCATACTCTTGAATACATTGTTCTTGGTTCATCAAATTCTCAGAATGTTCTAATGGTAACAAGAGGAAAATCTTCTCAAAAGTCTTGAAGGAATTATACAACTGTCTATCCGAGAGAATTCTCTTACTGATTGCCAAAGCATACATATCAAAGGAGTAACTCTCTGCCAATCCTCTGTACATATTTCTAGAGAATTGATCAAACAAAATGATCAAACTAATCATTCCCTTCGGAGAGGAGAACCATTCTGATGATTTTGTTAACTCTGCAAATACTTCCTCATTGAAAGTTGTTGATGAATTATCTTGAATTGTTGTCAACAACTTCTTGGCCATTTCTCTGCCCGAAATAGCCAAACTTTCATATTGCTCTTTAATATCAGAATCAAGTTGTTTCTTCTGTTCGGGATCTTTTCCTGCTGAGAACCACACAGACATTGATTCTTTAATTCCATCAATTCTAACACGATGTTCATAGGCAGTAATCTTGCCAAACCAGAAGGAGTAGACTCTTTCAATGTCTTCTGATGGTGATGATGCAATATGTTGAGACATTTTCTTTTGATTGTGGTTGTTGCAAGCTTGATAAAGATTCTTTATCTCATCAAACAATAGAAAATCTATGCGTATTAACACCGCATTTAGTCCGTGGTTAAACTTGACCTAAATGCATGATGATTTGAGAAAGGGCAGAAACTCTTTGTTTCTCCATCGATTCCTGAATAGCAACAGAACTTGAATTCTAAGGGATCATTCCTTAAATTGAACCCACTTGATTATTTATTCTACTCTCGGTTGTAAGTCACTGGTAATATATAATTCCAATAATATAATTTTGTAATATATTTTACAATAATTCATTGAAAGTAGATGATTTACCAATCTCCTTCTGAGTGGAATACCAGGAAAAATATCCCACCAATGCCGTATGCATTAATTTCATATTCAAAACCTCCAAGATGACATTCGTACAATTCATGATATCTGAAAGCTTGTAATCTTCCAACCTTTTCACATAATTTCTCTAATTTCTTCATCATTGGCTTATGTTCTTCCGGATAACTAAGTGCTTCACGATCACTCATTGGTTTACCCTTGTCCATTCCTTTCATCAATGCAATTGTTTCAGTATTCAAAAGTTGTGGAACTTGATGATGGGGATGACAATAAACTCGAGTCTCATGTTTTGATTTGTAATCAACTGTTCGATAGTACGGATTCATCCGTTGAATACTCCACAGATAATTAAATAATTCATTGATTCGTATGGTGTGTAGTCGATGGGCTTGTTGTTGTCGGAATTTTGCAATCAAAAGTGGAGAAGATTGTAAATCGTTGAAAATCAAAACAACACACGATGACATTTTTTAAAGATTTGTAACATTTTACAATTTATTATGAAACTAGAATGGGCAATTTCAATATTCACCTCATCATTTTACTTTAATATTGAGAAATTTGTTATTCTTTCAAAAATCATCACATGAAATTTACAACAAAATGTCACATTAGACCAACTGAACTATTTATGGCTCTCATTTCATTACACTCTTAGAGTTTTCACTGTGTAGCTTCATTATCAACAAACATGAACCTCAAACAAGTTGACTTCCTTTCTGATGCCAGCTATCAAAGTCAATTGCCAAAATTAAATTGTTGCCCATAAGAAAAAAATTATCATGACTGACGAATATGCCAACCTCTCAGTGTCCACCACCACCACTTCGGAACCACACGACCTCCACTCTAAAACAACCTCCACAAGTCCCATGTCACCATCATCTTCACCTCATTCTCCCTCTGTTGTGGTCACTAGACATTCCTTCCAATCCTATCATCAACTTGTAAAATCATTCTTCACAAGAGGAAGTGATAGGGAACAATTGCTGAATCCATTCGATGTTACTCTCTTTCATAAATCATCTCTGGGTAAATTAATGTTAATTTCCGACTATTCGAATCATAGAGTAATGATTTGCAAGGCAGAGGATGGAGCTTTTGTGAGTGAGATTCATGTGAAACATCCACATGGAATTTGTGTGGATGAAGTTAAAGGAGAGTTGTTGGCCACCGACTGTAACGATCATCTCATCAAGGTTTTCAGAATTGAAACTGGACAATATGTGAGAAATATTGGAAAGGGTTGTGGAACACAAAATGGTCAATTTAATGCACCATCTGCAATTTGTTTAGATTTAAAGAATGATTGCATGTTTGTTAGTGATTATGGAAATAATAGGTAAATTTTCATATTTTCCAAATCCGATTTAACATTTAATTTTATATGAAATTTTATTTAACATTTAATTTATTAATTTGTTAACAACAATTAATGAATATTTAAAGAATTCAAAAGTTTAAATATTCAACAGGTGAATTTATTAAAAGTTTTGGAAATACTCCAAACAAACATGTAATTACCAATGAGGCAGTAATTGTCGAGGAGAATCAATCATTGAAGAATAAGGAAAGGACAATCTTGGACAAGCCATGGGGATTATCATTGGATAAAATTGAAGCTTCTGGAATAATTCATCATGTGCTCTACGTTTGCGATACAAAGAATAATTGCATTAGATTATTCGATTCAACAAATGGAAACTTTATTGGAAATGCAATTTCAAATGCCAAGACTGTGACTAGTCATTTATCAAATGCCACACCATTTCTTAAAACTCCATACGCTGTCATTGTTGATGGCAATCGTTTATTGATTTCAGATAGTGGAAATCATTGTGTTAAAATTTTCACAAAGCCACGATTGACCATGGCCGATCCAAACACATTGACCATCCTCAAAGAGGGTTACTATGTCGACAGTATTGGACGACATAATTACATCTACGAAGAGGTTCCATCCTTCATTCAAAATATTAAGGAATTTCCAATAGAATTTAGCCATAATGTAGGTATGGCTTTGGATTCCTTCAAAGGAGAATTATATGTGAGCGATTGTTCCAATCACAGAATTCAAATCATTAAATAATAATACTGTACTAGTACTATTACTATAAATAATATTATTTATTTCAATTATTTCAAACTAATTGAGGCAACCACAGAGTTTGAATTACAGCACTCAGCTCCACACTCCTCATGACAATACGGAGTTGCAGAGGCAGTTGTAGCTTGCAATTGAGATTGGAAATTAATGGCCACTACACGATAATTAGTTTGGTTTCCATCCTTTTCAATATAACACAATGGATACATGGAAGGAACCAATGTTGAAACAGTGGCATGATCTCCAACCCATGAATCATCCAAAACTTTACAATTTCCACAAAAACTATTTCTCAAAATCTTGTAACTTCCAATTCTAAATTCATTACAATCAGTATAGGCTCTCTTCTCAGTCCTACTCAAATAATAAGTATTTGTCGTATTATTAATATAGGGAAAGGTCAATTGAATAATTTTTCCACTAAATCCGTCCATGTCTCCATAATGATTAAAGATGAACTTATCTCCCAACACTAAAACAACAACATTCAGACACAAAACAATCATCACAGTAAACAGGTTGAGATGAATTTTGTGGGTACTTCTTTGTGGAGACATTTTTTTGAGGAGTTTTTAAAGATTTTGGTTGGTGGAAGATCAAGAGAAACGGAGCTTGTGAGGAAGTTAAGGAGTGTTACTGGATTGGTAACAGTTCAATGGTGAATTATTAAATTATTGAATGTGAAATTTTTGCAGGATGAGAAAAATTATTGTGGAATGGAAAGTAATGTATCATTGGTGTGGAAAGAACGAGATTTTGAAAAGAATGAAAAATAAACAATATACCTTGTTGAACTGGTGATAAAAACCTGTCAAACATCAACGAATGACAAGAAGATTAAAAAAAAATGACAATTCAAGCACCTCCTCTTCCTCCCAACAAACCAACAACCTACAATAATAATCAAACAACAACACCATCAACAACACCAACTCCATCTTTAACACCATCAACACCAACAAATAATACACCACCTCCACCACCTCGTCCAAAATTAGCAAATTTATTTTCACGATTGGCAACTGACAATAATTTTACATTTCATCATCTTCATCTGACAAGAGACGATTTGCAACTTGCTGAACATTTAAAAAAATTGAATTTATCATCAATTCAACATATTTTGCAATTTTATGATTTTTCTGTTCATCGATTTGTTGTCTTGCCAGTAACTTGTCACTTGCCAATTAATCAATTAATTGGACATCCAGTGTATAAGCATCATTCTCTTTCACATTTAGCTGCTGGTATTGAACCTTTCCAAAATGGTGGACAATTGTTAGATCACTATTTAGTATATCCAAATAAGCAAATTCCTGATCCACTTCTGTCATGTGCCAAAAAGAATGAACAAGGATTGTTTACTATTGAATCTATTTATCAAGCTGAGAGTTCAAGAGAGAAAGGTCAATTTGAATACCTTTTTGAAAAATCAAACAATGATAATACTTGTCATCTCATGTCCACAAAACAAATTCATCAAAAATTGGTCAATTTGATTAATATTGATTGTCCTTTTGATTATCAAATGAGATTATCAAAAGAACAAGGAATTGTTAATAGATTGAATATTTATGGAAAAGCTCTGAAAGCTACTTTGGATGCCATTCAATCTAGAAAACCAGCAAATAACTCTAAACCAAGTACTCCAACAAGTGGTGCAAGTAACAGTACCAGCTCATTGGGAAGAAGTGGATCATTGAGTGGTAATTTGGGTGTCTTTGTTCAATCCAAATCTAGTTCAAATTTGAAGGAGAGTCGAATGGATAGTCCAAGAACTCCAACGACTCAACCTGCATCTCCATCGGTTCTTCTTCCAACTGGTGGACCTAAAGATGCCGAATATTATGATGAATATTATGCCATGACTCAAAAGATGAGAGATTCAGATTTCCTTTCGGATTTGGATATTAATTCATTTGAAGAGGTGGAGCAATTCTTTAACATTTTGAAAAAGCAAATTTTCACAATGGCTCTTGTTAAGAGTTTGTATGGAGCCAAGAAGAGAGTTGCCAATAGTGGTGCAGTTCCAACTCAATCCACCTTGAAGAACGATAAAAAGTCATCCAATAATGAATCTGAGAGAGAGGTTGGATTGTTATTCTCCTCACTTTCATTCTCTACCACTTCACATACTCTGGAACAACATTTGGTCAATGACTTGTTGAAGAATATTCCACACTTGGCTTCAATTTCGAGAGGAACAACTGGATCAGTTTCTGAACAACTTGCCCGTGAATCATTCTTTATGAATGTTGAATATTTCAATGGATGTTCCATTGATCACAAATTACTTCCAGTTTCAATTAGAGAAGGTAAATTCTCAGGCGATTTGAAATGGAAGAAGGTTGACTATTTCGATAACTTTAACAATGAAACATGCAACCTCTTAGCCACAAAATGCAAAGGTCTCACTAGCTTGAACGTTTCAGGAACTGTATTTTTAGACACCAAGGTTGTTAAGGATTTAAACCTTTCTCAAATTGCCCCTTCTAGAATTTTCAATGAAATTGGACTTGGCACACTTGCATATGGTTGCCAATCATTGAGCTCAATCGAAATTAGAATGGGCAAATGGGATCCCAAGGGAACCAATCAACTCTTACAAGTATTACCACGCTTGACCAAGTTGAACGTTCCTGGTGTGAATATGGATGAATCCACTTTCCAGGCAATCTCCGACAATAGAACTTTGAAACATTTGACTATCAATAATTGTGAAGCTTGCAATGATCAAAATTTGAAATATCTCTACAATCATCCAACCATTGCTCAATTGGTCATTCAAAATTGTACAGGGGTTCAAAATGGAATTTTAGGATTAGTTGAAGCCAACTCACCATCTTTGGTTCATTTGGAATTGGTCAATTTGCACAATTTAACTGATGGCTATTTGGATGTTTCCAAGAATAGTCACATCAAGACTTTGAAAGTCAATCATTGCAGAACTTTGACTACTCAAAATATTCTCTCCTTGTCCAAATCTCAAAGTGCCATTACCAATTTAATGATCAGAGGTACAACCGATAGCATTGTCCTCTCACCAATTGGAAACCTAGCCAATCAATTGCAAATTCTCGATTTATCCAAAACTTCATTCCCTTACACTCAAATCTTGAAATCTGAAGGACCAGTAACTGCATTCCAACCTGTTTACTATCCAGTAACTCCTGTTGCCTCTGAAGATTACAAACAAATCATTCAATCATGCAGACAATTAAGAGTTCTCATTCTCGATTGCAATCACAATGTCAATGATAATATTATTTACCTCCTCTCAGATCAAACTCATCCACATTTGGAAAGATTATCTTTGGAAAAGACTAGTGTTACTCAAAAAGGTATCAACCACATCTATTCACACTTTTCATCTCAATCTTCTAATTTAACTGCTTTGAATTTGAGAACTAGAACTTCAGGTGAATTGAACATGATTGACAATTTACCAAATATTCCAAAATTGAAAGAAGTTCATTTAGGATTGATTCGTACACATTCCATATCCATGCACTATGTGAAAAAATTGTCATTATGTAAGGCATTGGATACTGTTTATGTGGAATTTGATTCTCTTGAAGCTAAGCATAAACTTGTGGAAAATAACAAGTTGAAGAATATTCACTTTGAAATTTAAATGTAATTTTATATAATAAACTCAAGTTTCGTAAACTGCAAAGTGAAACGAAACATGATAACTTGTTTATTTATTTGAGAAATATTCCATGAAAAACTTATTAAATTCCTTGTAATCCATTTCCATCACTCCATGGCTCGATCAAATTCCTTAAATGTATGTTGGTATAGCTTGTTCATTTCTTTCGAATATTACTTTCTAACATTTCCTTAAGTCTATTTGCATCTTTTGAAGAGTGAACTGTATCTTTAAGACACATGACTTGAACTACATGACAATAACTGCTCAATTGTTCCAATAACTCATTGTGTCTCTCCGTGAGCTCTTCATTATCATTTTCCTGCTTCATGGCTATGGTCATGTCCATCAGACAATCCACACTATTCTTCAAATCAGTTGGAAGCAAATATCCAAACACTTCTTCATCCGTTGGATTTCTGTTATATGCCTTTTTTAGCATCCATTTGTTTGAGCTCTTTCCAACGAATAGTTTCAACATTCCTTTGGACACAGATTGGATTATTGAATAATTTAACAAATTTGGTAAAGTTTGGACATAGTACATTCCTGACACGAATACCAGATTAGTAATTTTGAAAAATCGTTCGAATTTTGACGAATCTTTGGAGAGATAATGTAAGGAAAAGCGTGTCCACTCTGGATCCTCCTGGTTGACCAACCAAATCAATTCTGGTGAATAGACACAGCTCATTGAATGAGACATGATAAAGCATGAAATTTCACAATCTTGTTTCGAATAAGTTTCCAACTCCAGTAGTGTCCTTCTCATAACCTGCAAACCCCAAAAAGCTCTATTCCATCTTGTGTGTTTCAATCCAATTTCCCTTGAACTGTATCCAAATCCAGGTAAATCTATGGCCACAACCAAATCAAATTTGGAAATTAATTCCTCCGCATTCATCCTCCAAGAAAAAGTATTCCCGCCAAAACCATGCAGTAAATACAAGACTTTGGCTGTTGAATTATTTGAATTTTTCCACATCCGATAATGAATCACAACTTGTTTGACCTTATCTTCAATAAATTTCGTGGACAAATTCAATTCAGAATCAACGATCATGAAATGACTATTCAGGTAAGGTTTTGGCCATGATTGTGAGTCGAAATTCTCAGAATTTTCTTTGATTAATAATTGTTCTAATAATTTCCAATCCGATGTTGCCATCACCTCCATCGTGTGTCCATTTATCTCATCAGGAAATAAACAAGATGAGTCGTGGGAGCTGTTTTCAACTTGTTGCATTTTTTTTAAAGTTTGTTTTCGCATGAATTGCGGACTTGACGTAAATTTCAATACTTGAAGTTTTTAATAATTAAAATAATTAAAGAACTGCGAATCTTCAATTGGAATATTTCAATCTTTCAAGTTCTTTAATATTTATCAGTTTAAATGTTAAATATTAATATCATTTTTGTAAAATATTGTAATGTATTGTATTTATTGAATTTTGAAATTATTATTGCAATTCATTGGAGATGAAATTGTTAAAATCATCGATTTCTGTTTCCATCAAGCAATGACTTGCATTTTCAAATAATTTGTAAACAAATTTTCCATTTTTAGAACTTTCTTGACTTTCCAAAATTGTCTTGAATTTCAAAGCTTCTTCCATTGAGTGAACATTATCCAATTTTGCAACTATTTGAGTCACTCTACACCATTTAGTCAACTGATTCAAAATTTCCAAATGTTTCTCCATTGAAAATTGTTCATCATCTGCTTTAAATGAAATTAAAATGTCAACAAAACAGTCAATTGAGTTTTGAATGCCAATAGGAATGGTATAGCTCAATAACTCTTCATTTGTTGGATTTCTATTGAAAGAACTCTTTAGAATGAAACTCATGGCTGTTTTTCCCATAATCATTCGAAGTGTCATTCTAGTTATAGATTGGACAACTGAATAGCTCAACATTTCTGACAGATTTGATTGGAAATAAGTTCCTGAAGCCATTATTAGATGGTCAATTTGAAAAAATCGTTTAGAATTAGAATCAGTTAAATAATTTTCAAAGTTTGTCCATTCCTTCTGATTGACCATCCAAATTAGGCATGGACAAAACAAGCAACTCATGGAGTGCGAGAAAATTGTCCACAAAATTTGAGTTTCGGCCACAAGAATTGATTTGGAAATTTGATTCATGAGTTGAATGCACCAAAATGCTCGATTCCATCTAGAATGTGAAAGTCCGATGGTTCTGGAGCTAAAACCAAATCCAGGCAAATCCATGGCCACAACCATTTCGTATTTCTCCAAGAGTGAATCGATGCAATGTCTCCATCCTGCAGTACTTGAGCCAACTCCATGGACAAGCAACACCACACGTGGATTCGTCTCTGTATTTCTATCTGATTTCCATATTCTATAGTGAAGAATAATCTTTTTCAAAGAGGAAGTCGAAACCATTCCATTCACATAATCCAAATCAGAATCGACCCATAAAAACCTGCTGTTACTAAATGGTTTCACATAATTTTCCTCTTCCACCACTTCTGCATTGTACGGAGTGATGAGTTGTTTGTTTAATTGTTGCCATTCGGTTGTGTTTTTGGCTTCCTCTTCATATCCGTGAATAAAGAGCGATTCCATTGTCTTGTTGTTTTTTTCTATTGTGAAAACATGCATTTCTAGTTGACAGATTCGATATTTTCACACACTGGAAAGATCTCGAGAGTTTTATGGTAAGATAAATCATCTATGTCTGCATTAGAATATTTATCACACAATAATTTATTTTGTTTCTGCTCCAGCACGGTAAAAGACGTCCAGTAGACACTTTCATCCTAGTCTACACTTGATTTGTAATTTATCGTTCAGAGTTTTCAAGATAATACTCTATCAATATGAGGAAAATTAAACTCTTGAATATTGAGTATTATTATCCAGTTATTTCAATACCATTGTTGAAGCAGAAAACAAAATGTTCAGAGACAACAGAAACTTTCTGTTGCGATCTGCTTGTTCCAGTCAAGGAATTACTTTTTAACTTTCATTCTTTCCTTGGCCTTCATCTTGGTCAACTTTTTAACCATTTCAAAGTGTCTGGTTCTGGCTTCTCCTTTGATTTCAGAGGATAAGTTTTCAAATCCATCACGCTTAGAAATTTCTTCAAAGTTTTGGCTGATACATTTGATGCAGTTGTTCTTGAGAGCCAAGTCATTGTAAACATCGACCAAGAAGGATAATTCCAAAACATTATCAACAGTAATATGTTGGATGACAATAGTTCTACAATAGTTGGCCAACTCGTTCAATTGGAAGAGAAGTGAACAGATGAATACTTCTACAGCATGTTCAATAGAAACAATAATCTCATTAGTGTACAAATATTTGAGGACACTCAAGAGACCATTAAGACTGATTTCATCAAACTTGATAACACCTGTGGTTGTTTCTTCCATTCCAGAGCTGAAAACTGTTGAGATGTAATTGGATCTACAGATGAATAATTTGTGAGCTCTCAATTCATTAAGCAACTCTCCAGTATGTGGATCTAATAATTGAATGGTAACATCTGCATAATTATTCTCAGCACATGGCTCTCTGATAAAATTGTCCATAGTATCTTCAATATTTTGATACAATGCAGAGCAATCGTGCTTGAGTTGGTTCAAAACAGCAGTAGAGCTATCCAAGTAGAGTCTCTTTTGGTCGCAAACGGAGAGAATAATTCCATAACGATCAATATCCAACTTGGAAATGTTCAATAATTCTTGCAAACATTCAGTATTGACAGTATCAGGAATAATAATATCACCAGTATACAAGAATCTAATGAAAATATTCATGGTATCCAAGTGATAGTCATTGAGTTCAAAGATAGACTTTCCATCAACCATATCTACATCATTGAGACCGACCAACAAGTCCTTGAAATAGGTAGATCTGGATGAAACCAAACACTTGTGGACATAGATGTATTCAGTTTCACCACTGGTTCTTTCAGCAACTTTCAAAATAAGGTCATATCCACTGAGATCACCATTAGCTTGTTTTTCAAATTCATTCTTAAGATAAATGTAAGAACTATTTTCCACACCAATATCAGAACATTCCTTGAGGACAACAACTTCTTTGCAATAACTTCTCTTGGCATAATCTGTCATACCTCCAATCATGTACAATTGACCTTGATCGTAGAGTGTAGTATGATCAGCTCTTGGTAATTGCAAGTCTCTTGGAGTAGTAATTCCATTTCCGTACAAGACATACTCTGATGGACCTCCTGGATTGATGACTGCAAATTCATTATTCTTTACATCAAATCTGTAAATGACATCACTGATAGTATTGCCACGCAAAATACCACCAGTAAGGTAAATGTATTGGTCAATGCAATTACAAAGGGAGTGATTTCTCATTGGTGGTGGAATAAAGGTCAAGTCAATTTCATTCCATTTCTTACTGACAATGTCATATCTGTGAAGATCATTCAACAAGTTGTCCTTTTGGGTATAATTACCACCAAAGATGAAAATAGAATTACCAACAGTACACTGAGCATGATTTTCTCTTGGTAAAGGGATGGCCTTTGGATTGGCAATATTTGCCAAATCTCTAGTCATGCTGAATTCAATAACTCCATTTTGAACTTTACTCCAGAAGGTTCTTCTCACCATATTATATTCAACAAATTGATTTGTTAAAACTCCATTAACATCACGGCCACCAAAAGACCAGAACTTAGGTTCATTATTGGATTTCGAAAGAGAATGACCTGTTGTTTCTCTAACTGCCTTGGTTATTGTTTCAACTGAGACATTCATCCAAACAGGAATTGGTGGATTACTCTTATCAATCTTATTGGCAGGTGTTGGTTTAATCAATTCCAAGTAATTCTTCAAAGCCATACAAGTATGCTTGAAATCATACCAAATCAAATATTCTCCCAAAATAAGGATGATGTGGCCTTCTATTGCAGGAGGGAATAACATATCGGTAAGGTTTTGTTTTCTATAATAATTAAACATATTTTCCTTCATGTCAACCCACTTTTTCTCCTTCACTTCATAACAAACTAATTGTGAATAAATTCTTCCTGATTTACCACCTCCTGATAAAAAGACAAGACTGCCATGAGCAGATCCAGCCATCTTACCAAGGGAAAGATCAACACTTTGTTTGATAACTTTTTGTTCAAATACTTTGAATTTTCTTCGTTGTTGAGCATCTTCATCGTCGGAATTGTCTACTGCAACACTATTAGTCACTTCAAAACGAGAGGTATCAACTTTATCGTAGTGCAATTTGTGGCTTTCAATATCCTTCATAGTAAACTTCATCTGATTCAATTTTCTATTCTCCAATTTACTATAAACAGAGTCCCAATTCACGTTTTCCTTGCTCTTCTTTTCTTCAACTTGTACAATGATAATTCTATTGGCATCATCTTGTTCCTTCTTCTTCTTATTCTTTGGAACAATTCTCTTCTGTTCACCAGTAGAAACCATCGAGTGTGATTTAAAGTGATCAACCAAATCATCCACTCCGTCCACTTCATCTTCTTCTTCATCAGACTCTTCTCTGCCATATAATTTTAAACGTTGTTCCTCGATGGACCATTCATTCTCTTCTTCATTATACTCGTCATCATCATCCGAACAATAATCAAGTTCTGCCAAGTATCTGCTCATTTTGATGATGAACTTTTTTTTTAATTCTAAAAATACAATTTGTGATTATGAAAATAAGAGAAGAACATTTGGCAAAGGTGTGAAAATGAAGTTTTGAAATTGAAGTCTCTTGAAGAACATTGTAAATCAATGTTTACAAAGAGAACTATTTAGAACTCTGCGTGTGAAATGTTATTAAGGTTGTTGGGATGGAAAGTGGAATGCAATATCATGGAAATGAGAGTCGAATAATCTTGAATGAAGAAATGTGTAGCAAGTTGAATAATACTTGTCATTTGTGATATCTGTCACAATTCCATATCCAATGACTCGATTTAGGAAGAGGGTAATTCTACTCATTTCTGGAACATCATCAAACTTTTCTAAGGTAAATGCTGGTTCGTTATCTTTGAACTTAAATGTTGCATAGATATATTGTTGATTGTGTAATGGTTTGGATTTTGAAATTAACTCAACATGTGCCTTAAATCCAAAAAAGAAAACCATTAGTTCCTTGATAAAATGATTAAACTTCATGTTACAAACTGGTCCACTTAATTTTACAGTAAAGTAGGATGTGCATGGTTTGCAGATTGTTTCTGAACGATTGAAAAAGGTCATTGGACCATAGTAGTCGTCATAATTTATCAGTGCCCAACCTCTGAATAAATTACAGGCCAATAACTCACCAGCGACTGATACTGTGAGACTGTCATAGAAAGACATTAGAGATTGCCCTTGAGATGTACATTGAAATGTTTTTCGAAGCGTAGATTGACAAATCTCAAACTCTTCGGTATTCCTAACCATTCCAGAAATTACCTTTCCAGCACAAATTCTTCCTAGACCATACATACTATAAGTATCAAAATGTATCATTCGAAAAGGAGCAGTATGGTCATATGGATATGGTTTCAATTCTCTTAAACACGAAAGAAAGGTATCATACTGTTCAAATGGACTTCCGAAAGGACGAACAATGTTTTTTTCATTCATTAAAGACATTGGAATAATTTTCAATGTTGTCTTTCTGAAAGTTTGCATTTGTTTGAATGATTTTTCAATATAAATTCGCACAAAATCAAATAATTCCAAAGAGTTATCAACAAGGTCCATCTTGTTAATGACAATAATTAAATCTTTCACAACTGAAGAAGTGGAAAATATTCCCAATAACATTTTTCCAATAATTTCATCTGCCACTTGTTGCCTATTAGATACCATAAATTTTGAAATGTCTATCATGAATACAACTCCATCACAAAAGGATACACCTTTTATCCAACCTCTGCATACTGCTCCTCTTGTTGGTATCATATCAAATAAATTAAATATTAGATTTTCATTCCAATAAACATGTACTGTTGGTGATAATCTGTAAAAAGGATCATAATTATGAGTAGTGGAAGAAGTTATTTCTGTTATAGCCTTTGCAGAAAGATGACTCAGACTGATATCATTGATAGTGATAGATTTGGGATCGGAAATATATTTTCCGAACAACATTCTCCTAACTAGTGACGTTTTACCACTTGCGTGATCACCAACAAATCCGAGAGTGTACTGTGGTTTTCGTCCATCCATTTTTTTATCTTCTAAAATACAGGTAATGAACTTTGTGGTTTAAAAATTGTTCCTCATTGAAATATTCAATAAATTATTGGCTACGTGATTGGCAATTGCTAGAGATGATGTCAAGCCAGGAGATTCTATTCCAATAAGGTTGATGAACTGCTTGGAGAGTGTTGGTGTTTTAGAGTTATTTGGCAGAGCATCAGAAAGAGTTTCAATAATGAAATCTCTGAATTTGTCTCCAGGTTTTTGTAATTTTGGTCGAATGCCAACATAATCGGCATGTAAATTCTCTAGGGATAAACCTGTCATGTAGTTTGAGATGGATTGGAAGAAAGCTTGTCCTCTCACATTGTTCACATTATCAATCTTATAATGAGGATATAATCGATAGGACAGTGTATCCATATTTGCATCTCCAACCATTTGTTTGGAATATTGCTCTGGGAATAAATCCCTAGCTTTACCAATGTAATTACTGTCAGGTCCAAACTTTAAATTTCCATTCAAATCAAGAGTTGAATGAGTTCCAAGACCATGAACAAGTCCCTTACTATCTGGGGGAACTGGATAGATTAAATGTTTAATCTGATGAGAAGCTCTATATTTGAAGTAGTGTCCCTTGAAATAATGTAAATGATATTGCTCTGGAAGATTCATACCATTTGTAAAATCTGAATAGGCCAATTCTGCAATTCTTTCAGAATCTAATCCAGCACTATTTACAATATTATCAGCAATAACATTCACTCTATCAATTTGACCATGTTGTCCAATACAGCACAATTCCACAAGGAAATTATTATTGTATTGATAAATGTTGTGAACTTTGGTATTGTTAATAAATGTTGAATTTTCACTTGATTGAATCATTTCCAACAATCTGGACATTAGAGTGGCCGAGCAAACAATACCAGTGCTCTGAGAATAGAGAGCCACATCACTTTTAACATTAGGTTCCTTCTCATTCAATTCTTCCTTTGAAATGAATACTAATTTCTTCATTCTTCCTCTCTCATCATACTTTTCAAAATTTTCATTACTTTTCCTCTTCATACTATTCAAATATTCAACATCGTGATCATTACTCGAATTGGCAACAATAAACTTGCCAATATTTCTATAGGGAATATTAAATTCTTCACAAAAATCATATAATAATGAATTTCCCCTGATGCATAATTTAGTTTTCAAACTCTCTGGTTCATAGTACAATCCTGCATGAATAACTTCACTATTCCGAGCACTTGTTTCCATGCCAATGAATGAATTTCTCTCCACAACAAGAGTTTGATAATCCGACTTGGAAACACTTGATGATTTGCTGTTGTTGGCTTCTCTAGATAATCTGGCAGCAATAGCCAATCCAACAACTCCACTTCCAATCACTAGATTTTCAACTCTTATTGTTTCAATGCTATTTGATGGAGAAGAAGAGAAAGTTGATGATGAAAATGAAAAATTGAATTCTTGTTGATGTTTAAAAGGGAACCGTGAAGACATTCTCTTCACAGACAAAGCACTTCCCAATCTTTTCATTTTTTACTTTCAATTTATGAAATAATAATAATAATTTAATTACTAATATTTGTAATAGAGTTCAATTAATAGAATGCAAAAGTACTGAACTACTATGCATCGTTTTAATTACAAAAAAAATAGAAACCACCCATGTTCTCCAAAGAACGTATTCAAAAGGAAAAGGAACAAAAGAAATCGTGTCCAAAGGAAGTTACTGCTCGAGTGCCTGGATATCAACTTCGTATTCAGCAAGAGCTAGAAAATCTGGACAAGGAATGGCTCGATCACTTGGTCATTGCAGATACTAATAAATTGGATAAGATGACTATTACCATTGTTCCAAGTGAAGGAATATGGAAGAATCATCCACATGAATTTGAATTGATCATTCCTCATGAATATCCTCATAAAGCACCTAATATTATTTGTAAAACTAGAATTTGGCATCCGAATATTGATGAAAATGGTTTGGTGGATTTGAACTTGAGGTATTTATTCAAACCAACGATGGGATTGAAGGATTTCTTTGTTGGTGTTCTATTCCTTATGCTTGAGCCCAATCCACTCGATCCACAAAATTATAAGGCTGGAAGGCAGTTTTTAGATGAACCGGAAGGATTCAAACAAAAGGCAAATAATTACATGAAGGGTATCTACCAGTAGTAAAAGAAGATTTCAATTCATTCGAAGAAGAAAATTATAAGCTTGAGTTCATGGCAAGAATATTGTTATTTTTAAAATATTACAAAATTTTAAAAAGACACAAAAATGATTTCCAGAACAAGCTAGATTGGTATGATAAAAAAAACATTCACATATTTAATATTCTGTCGTTTAAAAGAAAAAGAAATGATTACAAGAAAGCGTGCCAAAGAAAACGCTGATGATCATCTTATTGTTGATTCATCAACAGATGATGATGAGACTGTAAAGAAGAGCACTCGTATTCCGAAAAAGAAGGTAAAAAAGACAACAGAAGAACGAATCAAAGAAGTTGCAGGAGATTCACAAGATAACGATGATGAAATGGTGGACGATGAAGTTGGTGAATCTGGTAAAATCAATACGAAACGTTTATTGGATGTCAGAAGTAAAAGGGCAAAGAGATTGGATTTTGTAAGTTTTATTCTTGTATAATCATATCATCTGAATTACAAATCAATAATTTAGGAACAAGGGTTTTTCTATTTACCAAAATTTGATTGTTACTTACCTAGACCTGTTCTTCATATGATTATGGGATATATTCCTCCATTTCCATACTTTTTGAATATTAGAAGTATTTCACAACAATGGTTAGATGAATTTGACACTGAACTTTGTCAAAAAGTAAAGGAGCTAGATTTGATTCAAAGATACGATATTAATGATGAAAAAATCAAATACAAATATCCGTGGTATGATGAGAATACTACCACTATTAGAAACAATGACAGTATAAGATTCTTGGCTTTATTATTCCCAAATGTTGAAAAATTAATGGTGCCAGCTATTGGATATTCCAATGTTAGACTTCCACCCAATGTTTTGAGACTTTTCTCCAAATTACAAACTATGGAGATATTTTACCTTTTACCAATTGCACTTGATCCCACCAAGAATATTGAAAGAAGAGCTGCTATTACTTACAAACAAGAAATTACAGATATTCAATCAATTACCAATAATAGATACTTAACGCAATTCAGTTCTATCATTAGAGAGAATGATGATAACTCCAACCTAGTAGCAACAAATGTACTTGTTCCAGAAAATGTTGTTTCTTTATTCACCTATCTTGTTGAGAATGAACACTTTTCTCTAAGGAGATTGGATATTCTCTCACTACCAAAAATTCTCTACAGCAAAGAATTAATTACTTTCATTTTACAACATACTGAAAAACAAGTCAACCAAGGTTATGGCTATCCAGAATTTTATTCAGACTCAAATATCATTCACATTACCAATGATGAAGTTCTTGATCATATGGCAGAGAACCAATTTTTCAAAAATGTTCTCTCTCCAAAATTAATCTACCATTGGAAATTTATTTCTCATTTATTATCAGAATTATCAAAGGTAAAAACATGTAAAATTCTATTTGAACAGTCAGAGTTACCACTTGTATTTGATGGTGAAATTAATCCACTACTATGGATTATTAAGAATAATAACTCATCCCAACTGCCAGATATCATTGAATTCTTATTTACTTTGAATCCATCTCTTGTTACATTAGGTGATGCGAATGGTGTTGTGAATGGGGATGAAAAGAATATGAATATTCTGCACTTGTATATTACAACTTGTAAAACTATTGAGGAGAGAGTTGTTTCTTCACTGATCAATATTGGTTGTAATATCAAGTATGTTTGTCCAACAACAGGAAATAACTTGATTCATATTCATCCATGCTCTCCATGTATGTTTCTTTACTTATTTTTAATAACCATTCCAACTCTTAATAGCTCTTATTAATGCATTACCTGTAGAATTTATTCAAATGAAAAACAACAAGTGCTATGATCCTCTTGCTCGTTTTGTCAAACGAATCGAAATACAGCATAATGTCAATAATACTGATCTACTAATCACACTATAGATGCCTTTGCAAAAGCCTACCAAAAATTTGGTTTATCCATTAATGATGTAAAATTTGAAAAAAATTGGAACTTATTGCACAAGTTAATCAATTTAACCAAAGCTAGTGGCATTGCTTGCCTGTTAATTACACACGGAGTGGATGCCAATTTAGTTGATGAAGATGGTAATCTTCCCCTTATTTATTTTTTAAAAGAAAAAATTCATTCTGATGAAGATTTCATAGCCTTAATGAATTCAATTTCAGAAGAAACGTTGACAAAGCGTTACAATTCCAAATCATTACTTGCTATTGTTATTGAAATGTTTGATCCAACAAGTTTGACTGCATTTTTTAGGGATGAACTTGATTCATCATATGCAATTCTACAACTTATTGCAAATCTTCTTTCAAGAGGATGTAAATTGAATGAAGCGCTCTCAGAGCTATCAACAACACTTTATGAAAAAGATAATCTCGATTTCAACAAGTCAATTTTCTTGATGAAATTGATTTTTTCCATGACAAATCAAACAGAAGTTGTGGAAAAGATCTTAAAGTATTTGGAAAATCTTGAGGAGGCTCTCATCAAACCACAAACCTTTTCAAATTGCAAAATTTCACCTCTAATGTTTTTGCTTTTTTTATGGGGAGATAGCTATAAAAAAGCTGAATTTTACAGAGCCTTCTACTCTGATAAGCCACTGTTCTCTCCAAAGTTACTGGAGAATATTATTGACATACCTAATAAGAAAATTGATTCATTATTTTTTGCAATCGCCACATCTGGCGCTAGACAAATAAGTTGGGAATATTTGGAAGGAATTTTAGGGTTTGAACATGAAAAAAGTGGATGGAGCAATACAACAAGCAAGCATTCCGATTTCTTAAGATATTTTGAAAAGTACAGATATCATGATGAAGCATTTGGACCTATCAATATAATTCAAATTGCAAAATTAATGGCATCAGATGCAGTACTAGGTCAAATACTTTACCTCGACAACTCTAATCAAGTATTAAATGCGCTTGGAAATGAGACTTTCCAAAATAGTGAATCAATTTTAGAACAAATTGCAAAGAGTAGATCATTGAATATTGGAAACTTGTTTATTGACCGTTTTAATAATCCAAATACGGTAGAATGGACACCCAAACACTTCAGAGCAGCATTTGAACATGACAATTTTCATACTTGTTATGAAATCATCAGTTGTGATAAGTACAAACATGATTTCACAAATGAAGAGATAGTACAAATATTGATTGGATCGAAATGTAGTGATCAAGTAGGGTTGTTACAAACCAAAATTAACGGATTGACTTTTAAGGAAAAGTTCAAGCTTTTTAGTACACGTTTCAATATCATTTTTACAAAAAATCACAACATTCACAATGTTCCTTGGAAAAAAACACAATCATGGGGATATTATTTAAATCAATTAATAGAAAGGGCAAATAATTTACCTTTAATAGATCGAGACACAGAAGAACTAAATCTAAGTTTATTGGATGTTTGTTTAATTGATGGTTTAATGTTCCCATATCTTTATGCTATCCTTGATAGTGCAGCAGGAAGAAAGAGGAAGAAAATTACAATAGATTCAAAATTAAGCCAAGACCTATTAATCAATTGGTTGACTTCCAAAAACACAGAAGGAAGAACTGTTCTTCATATGATATGCCAAAATTGTAATTCTGAAAATTATGATACCAAATCTGATATGCTCAACGATTTAATCAAGTACATTTCCTCTCACAACAGAAACGATATTTTCAACTTGCAAGACAATGAAGGCAAAACTCCACTCTTTCATGCTGTAGAATCTGGCAATTTTATTGAAACATTTTTGACAGTTTCTGATATTTCCATACAGAATAATAAGGGAGAGAAGATTCAAGATATCCTAAATGAAGAACAGAAGGTATTATTTGCTCCTTATTTGCAAGTTAAAAAACCAACCACAACCTCAAAATCTTCCAATAGAAGAAAGAAAAACCAAAGTGAGGATGAAAACAGAGCAAGTAGTAGTGAGGATGAAGGTAAATCCAAGAAGAAAACCGCAACCAGAACAGCAAGAAGGAAGAGAAAATAATCAAAATCTGTTAGTTTCTGTAAATTAACAATTAAATATTTAATTTCAATAATTTATTAAATAAAAATGTCCGAGTCCTTCTTCTTGATTCAATGCTGAATAATAATGTTCATATCGCACTCAATGGTGTTTTGCTTTCATCTCTTTGGCATATAATAATTGAATGATGGATGTTGAGAGTTTGCATCTCTTATCGCATTCGGCTGACCATATTAATTTAATAATCAATCCGTCATCACTAATTGGCATACATAAAACTTGCAATGTGTCATGTTGTAGCAACAGTTGTAGCTATTATCATTGGTTTATTACATCAACTAGTGTTACAATCAAAGGAAAAAACATCATCATCAATACATCTTGAATTTTAATAAGCAATTTAATAAGCAAGAGAAGAAGAAGATGAATCCTAACAAGCCTAAACCTCCTCCACTCACCATCATTACTAAAAATCATCAGACGAACAATTGTACCTCCACAACAACAACAATATCCTTCTCTTCCACCACTAATGGAGCAGCAAGAATTGGTATGAGTAATGATAGTGGAAGTCCTCTACAAAGAGTGACAGCAAGTTCGGGAGAATATCAACGTTCGGGAAGTACAACTGAGAGACCATTATTTGTGAGGAATAATTCATCCCCTCAAGTTGTTACATCATTTGGTTTTGGTAGTCCACCAGGAAGTCCATCATCAACCTCAAATTCCAGTAGAAAGAACAGTCATACAGCCATTCATCCATTTCAGCACCAGAATAGTGATAATAGAACTAGTATTAATAGAGATTTAATGTTACCTTTTGATTTTTGTAAGAAGGAAGATGAAACATCGAAATGGATGAAGTTTTACTTGTGTTGTTTGAGTTTGAGAGTGAAAACCATGTCTGTACTAATGTTGACATTTCTAATGATTATGGCCATGTGTTTGATTGGATTAGTCATTTCCTTTGATGTTTCATTTGATAGTGTTGAAAAGAAAGAAGCATTAGATTCATCTAGAAAGACTGCCAAAGCTCTCTTTGATGATTTTAAATTCATTTCAGAGAAGGTCTATGATTTTGCCTCTTGGGATGATTCGTATTCTATTATGAAGACTGAAAATACGACAATTGCCGACAAGATGTTGGATCTCTATTTTTCTTGTGCCTATATGAAAAGAGCTGGTATTAATTTTTCAATCATGTACTATCCAAATGGTACCTTTTTTAATGGAAGAGCTTGTTTCGACATGTGGAAAATACCTGAATTTCCAGATGAATTGAAAGCTTTAAGTACAAGCTTTTTTCAAACAGACGACAATTACAATGGTAAGATTGTCACTTCTTCTGCCTTCCAAGCAGTATTTACTCCAAGAAGGAATTTGGCTCAATTATTTAGTTCTAATTCTCAAGTACCTGCTAATAGTTTTGTAAATGCAACAAATATCATCTTGGCAGTTGCCCTACCAATACAACCAAACAATAATTCTGATCAGAATGGTGTATTTCTCTACGGAAGATACATGACACAGTCACTCAGTGATGATATCTCTGTCAGAACTCAATACTGTACCACTTTTTTTGATCTCACCAATAATGAGGATTTAAATCTACTAGAAGATGACTTTAAAAATTTTCAAGGTCAACTCAATAACAAGTCAGCAACCAAAGTGAGTATCAAGTATCAGAGTTGGGCTGACGACGAGCCATTCTATTACTCGTACAATATGAAATACTCTTCCAGCAAGAGGAGAAGTTGTGCTGAAACCTACACTAAAGAATATTACACTTCAAGAATGGCAACTTATCAATTATATTCTGATTACAATAATTCAAATAGTATTGTCATTAGAACTGATTTTAATAGAGAGATTTATCAAGTTGGTTGGACATCATTTATGTATACTTGTTTTGTTTTGATAGCTATTGTTTTTACACTCCTTATTGCAGTCATGATCTTTGTAGAATGTGTTGTTTTGAGAAGAATTTTGAAAATTGGATCTACCGTAAAAAGCATTACCAAAACTAATGATATTTCCAAGAGAGTTCCCAATTCAGGATTTGATGAATTGGGACGTTTATGTAAGGATATTAACCACATGTTGATGGCATTGGAAGAGTCACAAATTAAACTTGCTAAAGACAACCAAATAATGCAACAATTGCTGGAAAAAACAGCCCTCGAAGAACAAAAATCCAGATGTGTTATGAATAGTATCTCAGACTTTATTGTCACTGTAGAGTGTGATACTGGGCTTTTAGTCAACATCAATACAGCATTTGAAAACAAGCTTTTAAAAAAGAATTCCTTTGCTAGATCCAACTCGGCGAGCCACTTAACTTATGCACCTACTCAATCCTCCTCTCCTAATTCTCCAAATTCACCAAATTCACCAGGAGATCCTCCTCTAATAAGAAGATCAACAGTTTCACCACCAACACCAAACTCTAAGAATATTTTTGAAACTCACAATATTATGGAGTATATTAAGGATTTTGAATCATATGACGAGTTGAAAGAATTGTTAGAATCACTCTCTAAAAATAACAATGGTTCCTTGCATCATGAAACATACATTCAGAATGATTTCTCTATCAAATATCATGTGAGCGTTAGTGTCACCAAAGTGAAAATGACCATCAGAGAAGGTTTAATTGGAGATGCCTACATTGTTCTTTTGAGAAATATGGTTGAGCAAAAGGAATTGAAGAATATTCTTACAAAACAACAAGAAAAACTCGAAGAAATGAAGAAAATTTCAGAATTTAACAGAATTTTCAAAGATCCTCATTGGAGAGAATTGTTCAAAGTATTTGCAGCTAGTGAACTTTCAGCTGAGAATGTTCACTTTTTGGAAGATATTGAAACTTACAAGTCGCTCTCAAAAACAAGAGACAGAGCAGCACTCTTGGAAGAAATGGTCAACAAGTATTTACTACCTGAATCACCTTATCCTTTAAATGTTTCCAAAAAGACAGTTGAGACTGAAATTAAAAAGATCACCTCGGGTTACGGACAGCTAGACTTATTTGATAAGATTGAATCAATTATTAAGCTAATGGTTGTGAATGACACATTCTCCAGATTTCTTTCCAGTAAGATCTTTAGAGATTCTTCTGCCAATGATCTTTCAAGAACTTCCTCTTCTCTTACTAATGGCCAAATAGATGCAATTTCAGAAACCCAAGTCAGTTTGGATGTGTAAATCTCTAAAATGCACTTTTGAATTTAACTAACAAGCAATGATAATAATCTTCAATGACGGTGTAGCTCAGTGGTAGAGCAATGATTCAAAAATGATTTCTGTTCAGAGATCTAACTGCAACCAACCAAACTTCGTTGGTCGAGGGTTCGACCCCCTCCATCGTCAGACACCTTTTTTTCGTATTGGCGAGCTAATAAAAACGAAAATTACAGGAAAACACCAAGATTAAATAGGAATGTCAAACATCTTTTAAGTTACAATTTTGAATCAATTTGGAATGTTACTTTAATCTTTTCCTAAAATCCTCCTTTGATATCCTTTCCTGTTGTGTGTTGATACATTTATGAACCCATTTGAGATATTTGTTTGTCGTGTCCTGCCGAGAATCTTTACACCAACACAGTTTACCAATCAATTTAACACTCATTCCAAAATGGAAGCTTGCAAATAATTATTAGTAAAAAAAAATGATAGCAAAATCCATTTTACAAACACTCACACGATTGCATTCTCTCTCCACTGTCGAGAATTTACTTTACATTCTCAACATTTCATTCCTTGCAACTCATGAACTGGATGCAGTTGACAAGAAAGAATGGAGATTACTATTTCTATTGAAAGATATGCAAGAAAATGATGCCAAAAACTGGTTTATTGGACTACACCTTCCATTGATGGGATTATTATTACTCCTAACCAATCGTTTCACTGACAAGAGCCTCCTCACTTCCAATTTTAATCAATTACCAAGAATGAACTCAACTCAAATCCTCAATAATTCTCAACAATTCCAAAGATCATTCAAAATGTACAGACCACTCATTGGACGTTCCTTATTATCCACATTCTTAATTGGCCATTCCTTCGTTCACTACACCTTCACAAACGATCCAAAGAATGAATTTCACTCCACTCTCTCAAAAAGTTATATTTATGGTGGAGGTGTTTGTGGAGTTTTGCATTTGGTGAGTGTTGGAGCTTTGTTGGTGAGAAAGAGATGGCATGTTTGATTCATCAATATTGATGTGGGAATTGTTTAAATAGTTAATTAGTTATGATAATAAAGAACATTTGGTGAATGGAATGTGGACGAATTCGTATTATCATATGATTAAGGTTTAAATGTAATTGAAGCTATGTGCTGTTGGTGTTCAATTTTCAAAGCCATTGAAAGCTGAGAATGGTATCTGTATCTTGTGTTATCTAGATGATGATCTTCTCTTTAGAATTGTTTAATCTTGCCTTTCTAATAGTATCGAAAGTTATCTTCACAACAGCTACTATTATCCACACTCTTTAGCCATCATCACTGTCTCTTGTACGAGGAGTTTACGGATTTTTTTTATTGTAAAGATTCTCAAAGGATCCTCAAACATATTTTTTGCATCCATCAAAAAGAATCTAAACACTACTACTGCAAGCGACCCACATCACAACTTTCACACTTACAAAAAAAAACAACAACAGAAAGAAAACACAATGAACAGATCCCTCGCCCTCGTTGCCAAGAAGCCAGTTGCTGCTTTGAATGTTGCTGTCCAAAAGAATGGTATGGCTCTCATGACCATGAAGTTCTCTTCACCACAACAACAAACTAGATTTATTCAAACTTTGAGAAAGAGAAATAATCCAGGTTTCTTGGATACCGTTTCTGGAATGGTAGGTTTTGTGCTTGTTGAAGGGTTTCTAATAGTTTTATGATGTTTCTAATAATTTTAATGTTTATTTCGAAATGATGGTGTTCACGAATTAATTTGATGATGGATGGAAATATTTGGATGATTCTCACCTGCCAAAAAATATTTTTTCCAATATCATTATCCATTTATCCTTTTCTAACAACCTTTCGAATATGTTCAAACTACACAATTTTTCACTAACACAAATAGTACGAAAGTGCTGAATACAAACTCGATTGTAAACCTTTCGAATTCAGAGAAGGTGAACCATTCTTCCTCTTCAACTACTTGGGTGTTGTCATTGTCGCCTGCACCATTGCTTTCGCCTTCTTTATGTGTTTCTCCTCATTGGCTCGTTATACTTTAATCGATACTCAAGTCACTTTATCTAGAAGAAACCCACATCCATTCTTGAATATCAAGACTGGTACTGATATGATGGCTACTATTAATCCAATTTATAGATTCTGTCAACCATTTTCACATACTATTGATTTGAAGCAAATGTTTTATAATGAATTGAACAGAGCTAGAAATCATAGTTTGTAAATTTTTGTATACATATTGGATTCTATATTGAATATTCAAAAGTAGTATTGTTTTTTTGGAAAGAGGAGAAACGATATTTGCTTGTTGAATGTAACGAGATGATATTTACGTACAATTATAATCACTTCTAAAGAAATAAAAAGTAAAAAAGCCTTTAATAATAAATAGGGTAATATTTAGGTAAACAAAATAATTAGAAACTCTTCTTTCTCCAACAATAAACTTTATCGTTCTTCCCGATAATATTTCAACAATAAATGTTAACTCTGATAGATTTTAAGATAAATTCTCCATAAATAATAATAATAAATAAAGTAATTTTAATGCCATTGGTGAAATAATATTAGAAAGTATCATCTTCAAATTTAAATGAAGAGGCTGTTCCAGGAGTTGGTGTATCCATATCGAATTGATCTCCACCACTCAAACCACTTCCAGGTGTCGATTCATCCTCCATTACATCATTTACAAATGTGGTTGGATCCAAAACTCTTTCCTTTGATCCTTGAATCAGTGCCTTTTGATAAAATTCCTTAACATCATTCATGAATTTATCAGCTTGAGCATTGGCTTCAATATGCTTCCATTCTTCGTCCAATCTGACAACTCCCTGCACTGTACCAGTTTGAGGATTATATGTTGTTTGAGAATTGGAATAGGAGACGACATAGTATGGAAGAATGAGTTCATTATTGAATACAGCATGATTCATAGAGTCGGATGTTCTTAAAGAGTGATTAGCTCCCAAACTGGAAATATCAGCATTTTGTAACTTATTCAAATCACGAACAGCACTTCTACCTGGCAAGACAAGGAAGAGCATAATCTTGGTGTTCTTGGCAATGACAGCATTAGCTTGTGCAGCAAGATTTGTAAAGACATATGGTTTGCCACTGTTATTTCTTACACCATTCTTACAAATCCAATCGATATTATCATCACTATAATCCGAAATATCCATAAATGTTAAAATTGGCTTGACTTCAGGATATTTGGTATTCAAATCGTAGGCAAGATTATGTCTACTGGCTTCAAATTGTTTAACCAAACCAGGTGTGACAACATATTTAACTTCGGTAATTCTAAATTGTGTCTTGGTAGTGAGCAATCTGTAAAATTCAGATTCAGCAACTCTAAAGTGAATGTGAGAAACTTCATTGGAGAAGGTTCTTTCTGGTTTGAAGGTAAATGTTCTTGGTTCATCCCTTTCCATTGTTTCATATTCTCCAGGCAAGTACATTCTATTCTTTTTGTATTCTTCCTCTTCAGTGAGAGTGCCATCATTACTGGAACTGCCAGTTTCATTCTTTCCGATCCAATCTCCCAAAGATGAAGAGGAAGATTTACTCTTGAAGGATTCTACTTGTTTGGTCAATCTATCAGTTTCCTTCTTTTCCATATCAATCATTTCTTTCATTCTCTTGATACGATCACTTAAAACATTGACATTATTTTCATATTTTGGAAGTGTAACATCTTCAAAGAATTGAATAGGTGGATTTTCACTATTTGTACTCAAACTTTCAGTTTCAATAACTTCCTTTGCTTCCTTGATAATCTTCTTGGTTTTGATCTTTGGAATATCTGGACGACGAGGTAATTCACCTGTCAATAATCCTTCCATAGCTGCTTCTTCACGACCTTTACATCTAATCAAAGCATCTCTAATTTCTTTTGTTTTCTTATCAGGAAGTAATTGTTTCAAACTTCTAACCTTTTCTTTGTATCCTTTAACATGTTGTTGGATGTATCCTTCTTCATCTTCTTCAATAATTTCAATTTCTCTCTCAACGAGAATTGTCTTTTTCTTTACAAAATGTCCTCTCTTTTCATTTTCTCTTTCTACACTTTCATTCAATAATCTAGTTGACAATTTTGAACGAGCAAGTGTCAAATCACGTTGTAACAAATTTTTCAACTTGGCAGATGAAACTTTCCCAAGTAATTGTTCAATTTCTTCGAGATCGGACACTGTAAAACTGTCCAATGTTTTGACGTACTTTTCCAATAGAGGATTTTCAGGATGTGATTCAACAGCTTGGGAGATCATTTTATAGATTTACTACTATTATATAAAATTTAATGAATATTGGTAGAGATTTGATGATGATCGTAAAATTGATCGGAGGTTGGTTATTAAATTACAATTTGTACAAATTTTGTTGTTGTTGTTATTTTTCAATGTGGGTGATGAAAAACCTTCTAATTCGATTATTACTATTCAATATCTACTATACTCTCGAGAGGTAAAAAAAGCGTGCGGAGAAGAGTTTGAATGTTTTGACTTTTTTTTTGATGGTTAAATTTCGACTTTCCAGTGGTACAAACTTCCAAGTTCACCACAGCAATGAATTTGGTTGGTTGAATGAACGTTTCAATACTAATAACAATGAATTTGATTACAAAATCAACTTCCACGAGAAATTTGGAAAGAAAAGAAGGTCTATTAATGGAAGAGTGCAAAGATGAAAATGTAGGATGTGATTCTTTGAGGTTTCATGCAAATTGTAGTTTTTGAAAAAAATGTTCTTTGTAATAATTTATTGGTTGCTGTTAATAGAACGAGTGAGACAAAACTTGATCAAACTCAAAGTCTTTGCAGTTATCTTACTAGTGCTCAAATCACTTGGAGAATCGAAATGAGTAAGATTAGGATAAACTTGACTAAATGTTAGACGAGCATCTCTTTGAGATAAGACATCGATCAAATTCTTGTAATCTTCTGGGTGAACATTGGCGTCAGTTGGAGAATTGAGTGCGCAAACAAATGGCATTGTTGCTGACTTGAGTAAATGTAGTTTTGTAAACTCAATCGAAGTATAATTAAATGCAGATTGAATGAATCTTCCACTAACATAACCTCCAATATTGTAAGCCCAGTCAATTGGATAACTACCCTTCTCAAAGAGAGGGAAGAAGTTTGCTAATGCAACTGCAGTCTTATTACTAATATCCATATTCGAATTTGCTATTGGAATGAGTTGAGAAGTTGGATCTTCCTTTTCACATGCCTCTTTCAAAATATTCCAATTAGTAACCATTCTCAAATTTTGTTTCACTAGAAATTGTCCATAATTAAATACCAATCCATTCATTAGAAATACGTTAATGACTTGCTTCCCCATTTTCACATTACTTTCACTGTTGAACAAATTAAATGATTTGAGAACTACATTGACACCTTCTGAATGTCCCAAAATTCCCAACTTGGAAGGATTGACATCTGGACGAGTTGACAAATATTCCAATCCACTCACTGCATCAATTGCAAAATCATCCAAGGTTACTAAATTGTAATCAAATTGCTGAGGTGCATCAGAAGGTCCTCCATACCAACAATTCTCAAAATGATGCGTCAATTGATTCACAGTACATAATTTACACTCCTCATGTCCAGAACAATGACCTCTCTTATCATAGGTCAAAACAACCAATCCACTCTTTGCCAATTCCATTCCTAGTTCATAAAACACTTGAAAATTCATAAAGGTCAATCCACAATTTGGATCCTTCTTTGGAAAACCCATCGTATTCAAAAAGGCATAATTCATAGCTGATTCATTTCTATTACTAGCTCCACTTCCATGTACTAGCACAACAGCACCTCTTTGAACAGTTGTTTCGGAACCAGAAATAATTGGTTTATAGAGCGTTCCATGCATGATCAATTTTCCAGAGGGAGCATTCGATACGAAAGCAACACTTTCAGTGGCAACCTCCAATGAAGCAGCCTCTACGGATAAATTAGTAGCTACAACAAGTAGCATCAATAGAATTGATGAGAAGGAAATCAAAGATGTTTGGCGCATTTTTTTTTGTAAAATGAAATTAAGCGATTTTTATGCCGACAGAAAACCTTTAAATTCATTACAATGATTACTCAGGTTGATGCACATTTTTCGTTTCTTATGTAATTCTTGAGAGATGGTTTAACAATGGAGGAGCATAAAATATTGATTCCTCCATACTTGTTTCCAGTAAACATCTTTCATGAGTGTATTATCGAAAATAAGCATAACTGAAAGGTCTATGTTGTGGAGCCTTAATACCTTAACAAGAAGCGTCGATGGTTTAGTGGTAGAATACGGCGTTGCCATCGCCGTGACCAGGGTTCAATTGTATGTTCAATTCCCGGTCGACGCAATCATTTCTTTTTAATTTTCCTCTTTTTAATATTCTCTTTTACTTCTGTTTACCATAAAAACTATACATTTATTCCTATCTATCATCCAAAAATTGCAGCCTATAACTCAATATTAATCGAGAATTAGTCCTCAGGTTGACCCCATTTTTTTCTTTTCTTTTAAGTTTTTAAGTTGCATTTTATTTTATTGACATAAATTAGGAATTGGAAATCAAGCAGTTTCTTCTTGAATTGTTGGGGAAAGTGAATCGTCATGTTTTGTTCTACTAAACGAAAGACAATCACTCGGATTAATGACATAGGTTTGCATGGTTCCCTTTCCTTTCACTTCAATGCGTCTTTCCTCAAAGGCTGAATATTTTTCCTTTAGTTTCGAATAAACTACATCAGTAACTTGAATATGACCTGTTGGACACAAGTATTCCATTCTTGAAGCCGTCTATTTAAAATATTAGCATTACAATTCAGAATTTCAATAACTTACATTCACAGCATCTCCCCAAATATCATAGGCATATTTCAATACTCCGCAAACTCCCGCAACCAAAGGTCCTGCATTAATTCCTGCCCTTAATCCAATATTCCAATTACGATGTTCATTTCTCAATTGGAAATCATTAAATATTTCGAATAGATTCAAAGCAAATTCGAAAACCCTCAATTCATGTTCTTCATCTTTCATTTCATTCGCTTTTAGTCCGCCAGTGCAAAAATATTTCGATTGAATTGTTTTGATTTTTTCCAAATTGAATCTGACACATGCCTCATCGAATTGCATGACAAGATCATTAAGGTTTTGAACTAGGTCAGTGGCACTTAATCCTAAATCTAATAATCCAACTATGTCAGAAAAAATACATGTCACATGATCGAACTTGTCAGCAATCAAATTTTCACCACCTTCTTGTAATCTCTTTGCAACACTATAAGGCATGATATTCATCAATAAAGCTTCACTCTTCTTCTTCTGTTCTGCTAATTCCTTAACTTGCATTTTAATTTCTGTCAAATCTCTGATAAAACAAGTAATGACATTTCTACTATCTGTAACCGAAACACAAATTCTCATTTCAACTGAAACAGTTGCTAAATTCTTTCTAACACCAACCAATTCCAATGTTTCTGAATAGCCAGAGCTTGCCATACTCATCTGAGTAATGATTGGTTGTAAACTTGCTTCTGAACTCTTATCGAATAGTTTCACCAATGGGAAACCTATCATTTGATCTGATCTGAACCCAAATAACTTTTCAGATGCATTATTGAAAATATCGATGGTTCCATTTGCAGAACAGACAATGGCACTTGTTAAGGCAGCTTCAAGAATGGCCCTTTCTTTCGGTACCTTTCGTTTTGATTTCTCTTTTGGATCAGTTTTAAGAATGTGATGGAAAATGTAATTTCTCAAATCGTCATTCGAATCCAACACTTCCCAATGGAGATAATTCAACATTTTCCTCAACACATAATTTTCATTTCGAACATTCTTCATTGTCATGAAATTCAACATGTAGCAAAGTAATAATAATGGAATTCCCACAACTGTTCCAATTATGGTAAAGTATGGCTGTGAATTAAAGTAGGCATAGTACAAAATTTCGTTCAGAGAACCGAATGTTCCATATAAATCATAAGCAGTCAAATACAGAAATTCTGGAATTTTGTTCAAATCTGAAACTGTTCCATTGTAAACTCGAAGAATTTCATTTAGCTTTACAGCTTGAGCTCTAAAGAAACCAACCTTATCATCCATTGAATTACAAGAGAAAGTTGAGCAATTTGAAGATGTCTTTCCAAGTAAATTGTCAAGATTTGAATTAACTCCGCTCAAGCTCAAATAACCATCTACAGAACTTCCATATCTGGTAGCTGTCCAATGAGTATCGAAGGAAGTAATGTGATCAAGAAGAAGTTTGGATCGTTCTTCTCTGAATGTCTGGTTATCGAGATGTAATACCATTTGGAAGATGTCATATCTTATTTGTTGTTCATAACTCATGGCATATGACATTTCTCTTAATTTGACAACACCATAAGTGTGAGCTTGAAAATCTGTAAAAACATCAGCTATAATCATAGATAATGCAACACAAGTAACCAAAATTGAAAAGATATCCAAGAATATTAACTTGGTGACAGATGTGAAAAGTGACTTGGTTGAACTTTTGACATCTTGTTCTTCGCCAACAACCTTTTCCATAGTAGTGATGAGAAATCTTGACTCTTCTTGTGGTACTTGATGAAACAATCTCAAAATTAACTTTCTATTGTAAATAAATCTTAATAGGAATAATGAGTGAACTATCGAATAAACCAAAAAGGAAAAGAATATAAAAACCACAACAATTATAAAGTCATTTGTAGTGCTATTCAAATCACTATATAAATATTTGTAAATATCTTCAAAAAACTGTGCAAATCCATTCGACATTCTCTCCACATTATTCCCTAAAAAGGTAAATTGTGAATTATCCAATGAAATCTTATCACTCGACTTGGTCTGATTAATTAAATCAACAAGTGTCAAGAGTAACATTTTGTTTCTCTTTGCAATCCAATTAGTTGACGTATACTTCCAACTCCCGCTCTCATCATCCACTAAAATCAACTTATCCTCCGCATTGTAATACTCAACCACAGTATCATCATATTGAGTGGAAAATAATTCATTCAAATTCTCCAATTTAACTGCCTTACTCGAGCCGAGTGTGTTGATTTTGGATCTGAATGTTGGAATGCTCCAGATTGAGGTTGTGTTTAAGGGTCCGACTTGTCCGTTCAAATTGTTAATGTTAATTAAGGCTGAGAAGGGAAGTGCAGTCAAAACCGAAACACTATCGAATAGATCGAGAGAGGTAAGTTTGAAAAGAAGTGAAAGACCAATGATTAAGACCATTAAGATGAATAACAATTGAAATCCACCACTCGTATTCAAAAAATAGAAGAGTTTCTCATTTTCGTCTGGTTTCGAAATGGCATTCGTAAATATTTCCTGTTGCTTGTCTAAAACAGTTTCAAAATTTTCTTCTTCCTCTTCACCCATCATTGAAATGGAATCAAAATTATCCAACATTAAATCATCAGTTGCGAATAGATTATTCTTCGTTGGCGAAAGTGCAAGAAACTGCATTGGTGGTTTCTCACTTTCCTTAATTGGTTTCTCTTCTTCTTCGTCTTCGTTTCCCATGGCCATGAAATTGAATTCTCTCTGATAGTGTTTGTATAATTGTTGGATAGTTTCGTCTTCTTCATGATCGAGAATGAGATTTTGGAATGCAACATCCAATTCATACGAAAGTGATTCAATCTTTTGTAAAATGTGGTCGACATTGGATTTGGACGAAACTAATTTCCAGAATTCGATAATCATAATTCTGAGTTTCTTCATACGGAGATTTAATCTTTCAATTACTGTTTCACCAACAGTTCCTTTGATTTTCATGTTAATTGCCAAACTTTTTTCCAATTCTGCCATTCGCATATAAATGGCGAATTGTTGACGAAAGTTTGGTTTTCGTTGTTCTGCCTTTTTGAGGAAAGTGCTGGCTTGGAAATAATTTGGAGGTTTGCAAATATCTTTCGAATAGAGAGCCATGTTGATGAGACAATTACAACTAATCGAATCTGTGGTACGAAACAAGATTCGTACAAAATCAAAGATGATATCTTGTTGTTCTTCAGTTCCTTTCAATGCAAATTTGATAAAATTGGCCAAAGCTGGTAAATTTGAATGATTAAAGTTCAATTCATGAGTTGATTGTGAGCTAGTCACAACAGATGCAATTTGCTGACCTTTCGTCATGATTCGTCTAGTATAAATATCCGTCACAATGAAACCAATTACAAATCCCACAATTCCCAAAACAATCGGTGCAAAAGTAAGTCCCAAACCAAGATCCCAATCATCATTCTTATTTACCAACGTTGAAACCAATGCCGAAATTCCAACTCCAAGTCTTGCAAATCCAATTCCACCATAAACGGAATTTGTTGACCTGTGAAAAAAAGGCAAGTCCTTAAACAGTAAAACAATGAAAACCAACGCCATAATAATGAACATGATTGGACGAATGAAATTAATCATGTGAGGGAAAGTTCCAGCCACAACATTATACAATTGATTGGAGCCAATAATGAAAGCCATCAGAAATGGTGTGTCCATCACAAAAGCTGACTTGACTTTGACATCTGTATCACAAAATAACAACACAGTATTCATGGTAATCAATATTTGAATAATGCAAAATAACCATGACACTATTCCCAAAACAATATTCGAAACTCCCAAACATTCCACTGTTGGAAACCTTCTCAAAACATAAGTTGCATCATAAGCTCCACTCAGAGTAACTGTCTTTTCATAATCACAATCGAAAAATGCATGAATTAAGGCAAAGGTCACTGGCATTGAACAGAGCGTGATGGAAGTAAAGGCAATTCGTCCAGCTGTTCGAATTCTTTTCCAATAGGAAGTACCATAAACTAGTGAACGATAGGTCATGTAAATGATTGCTATTGCTATACTTTCCAATAATAGCAATGCAGCTGCTAGTCCTATATATGCCTCATATGGAAGGTATTGGAATCCAAACGTTCTAGGAATGACAAGAACATTCATAATGTATTTACCATATTCCCCCCACCCAAAATCCAATGAACATCCCAAAACGAGAGATTGAATCATTATGAAAATATGTAAAGTTATTGAAATGAATCTGTGAAGTGGATTTTCCAACTTGACAGCTTGAATAAACATCAAATACTTGTCGATATATTCATTCATAACAGTTGTATTTTCATCATCTTCATCTTCTGGATGAGGAGTTTCATCTTTTGCATCTTCATCCCAAAAATCTGTTGATTTCGACTTGATTTCCTTGAGCTTTGAAGAGTTGGTTGATGGTCTTTGAATACTTCTAATGCTTCGGGAACTTCTTGCAGTCCTTATTGAGGCTGTACTTTGAGTTGAAACCAACTTGTGAGGTGATTGAATATTCTGATTCGAATTGTTTAGTCTAGGTTTCGAATGACTTTGAATAGAATCTAGAGGCGTAATCCTAGAAGTTGATTTACGTTTCTCCAACAACAATGACCTAACAGAAGCTTGAGATTTTTGCTTTTTAGAATTTTGAGCTAAGAACGGAACATTACTTGAGGGGGTTGGTGATTTTGGTGAGGTTGTTACATTGAGATGATGATTTGTATGAGTTGGGATTATCAGCACTGCTGCTGAATCTTCGTTACAAGAGTTAGAAGAAGACATGATGCCTTTTTGTTGTTTTTATTTAATTCGTAAGTTGATGTTTGCTGATTTGATTGTTTGAATGGTTCTTCGAAAAATTACGATTTTGGTTTCCTTGGGACTTACCATAACACAACCATGATATTGCTTTTTTCACTTGGAAATTGTTGAGCACTTAAATTAGCAAAAAATAGGGAAGTTTTGATTCCTGTTGATAAGTTGTATTCTGAAAAAGGTGCCAATTTTAACTAATTCCATGAATACATCTCTCCTCAACAATCACCACAAACAACTTCAAATCCCATCAACACTAGAATAGTCCTTACAGTTGGTCAATTAAAAAATTATG